CAAAAATACAGAATTGCATTTTATATACATTCATTCGTATTTCACTCTTTCTCCTACCGATAAGAGTACATGGAGTACTCAATAAATATTGTGAGTCGTAGATCTGGCTGGGCATTCTTTGGATCTCCAATTTTGATAGAATATGATATGATATGATGGTAAATGCAGTAATTTAGACTCTTACTATATAATACATACTATTTAGAAAGAGTCTGGATGGTTCTTGTATGTGTGCACATGTAAGAGTTCATTTTCTGGTCTGGGTCTGTCCAGAGTAATGGACAAACCCCAAAAATATGTTTATTAAATAAACATTCCAAGCACCATAACCACTACATCAGCTTGCAGTGGTTATGGTTCCCAGAGTGCCCTGGAAGTATCTCATCCAATGAAAGCTGTCAAACCATTTTAGCATTTTTTTGACAACTAACTTTAGTTTTTCTGAACACCCACACCAGCCACATGTGGTCTTCTCCAGTCTTCTCCAATACAGGACCACGCTCATTGGCAGAGAGCCCTCATCTATAGAGCAGCCCAGCTTGTTCTGCTAGAGAAGACGGGATTGTGGGACCCAATCAGTGCTAACAAGTGTGACGTCTTAACACCGCCCAGCGATGGGCACTCCTTAAACTACAGTTGTCTATAGTTGTTATTGTACTTGAAGTGCTTATTAACTAGAGAGTGAAAGTATGTGTTAAATATCAAGAAAACAGAATGGTTGTCATCTTTCTTCCCTACTGGTATTATTATCCATATTACAATGGATGGATATACACTTTTCGCGTGAGCGATGACAGTCAGTATTAGCATTATTAATCTATATGAAATTCTTGTATTAAATAAAAAGCCTGATCTGCTCCCAGATTATACAGGTGTAATTCACTTTTTCTTAATTATGCTGCTAGCACTGGAGTGGAAAAACCTTTCGCACTCGGGAACTTACATTCACATTCTAATTATAGACTTAGCCTGTTGGTGTTTAATTGCTTCATGCGGGCTGGAAGCCAGATTCTACAGGTAGGCTGCAGTAGCACAAATGAGTTCAGTTTTCCACTGGAAACTTCCACTGGAACTGAAAAAAAACAACAAATTTCTACTGAAGCCAGAAGAAAATTCAGGGAAGGGAGGGGGTTTAACCCAAAGGAAAAAAGAAACATTTTTAAAAATATATATAATTATAATTTAAAATAATTTCTTAATATTTAGAAAATATGCCTTAAGTATAGAATCTGCACGGATGGAATACTGTTTTCTATATGGTGAATCTTGGGGAGGGACGACAATTCATGATACTGTTCTATAGTTCATGCTTTAAAAGTAATTTATTAAGAAAGTAAGGAAGCCGTAACATTAAGCATTCACAAGTCACAATATATGCAATTTAGAGCAGTCATACATTACAGATTATTACCCACAGAATGCAGGCAAATTAGATTTGTACAGCTTGGAGGAAAGACGAGGCGGGGGGATATGATAGAAACATTTAAATACATAAAGGAAATCAACACAGTAAAGGAGGAGACTATATTTAAAAGAAGAAAAACTACCACAAGAGGACATAGTCTTAAATTAGAGGGACAAAGGTTTAAAAATAATATCAGGAAGTATAACTTTACTGAGAGGGTAGTGGATGCGTGGAATAGCCTTCCAGCTAAAGTGGTAGAGGTTAACACAGTAAAGGAGTTTAAGCATGCGTGGGATAGGCATAAGGCTATCCTAGCTATAAGATAAGGCTAATGAAAGTATTTAGAAAATTGGGCAGACTAGATGGGCCAAATGGTTCTTATCTGCAGTCACATTCTATGTTTCTATTTACTATGGGGGAATGTGTGCCCTCCATCGCTATTTATTCCAATCATTTTAACCCACTGCCACAATGGATAAAGAGGAATGCACATCAGAACAAAAACAACAACCAACAGACAGAGCAAGTAAAATGGTAAAACGAACCTGAGAGAGACAACATCCAACAAACAGAGGTAGAAGAAGACAGGGGAGAAAGGAGAAGATGCCAAAAAGATAAACAAACAAACAAAAAGAATGATGTAATCAAATATGTAAACATATTAATTATTAGCATTATTCATTTTAATTTATATTTAAATTATTTTAGCACTTTAGTACTTTTTAAATTTGCAGGCTTAACTCATTGTTAATACACACAAACTAATTATATCACTCAAACAATGGCAGGATTCATATTTAGATTGATGATCTTATATATGACTGACTAGAGAACTCTGGACCCCACTGAATACAGTAAAACATTGGTTGCAAAGATCATATTTACCATATTTTACCACTCATGAAATATTTGATGAGCAAACAGAGGTAAGACCAGTAAAAATTTTAAAGGAAAGCGGATCATCAAAATTTCTTTGTGTCATAACATACCATCTCATTAGTTCTTTTAATTCAGGTATTTTGACATTTTTAAAGAAATCACTTACCCACCTTTCCCACTGCCCCTTTCAGACAGCCATGTTTATGTACCTTTGGTTGGTTCATCAGTTATCCAACCAAATGCCCTTTATTTTGCAACTGTCCATTACTTTTCAAAACTGTGTGATCTTTCTGCACACAGAATTTTCTGTCAGGCAACTTTGAAAAGAATTAAATAGTTGCAAAATAGTGAGCAAAGGGTCAGATAACTGATAATCTTACCAAAGGTGTACAAAGATGGTTATCAAACAAGAGGTTTAATCAACTTGGGGAAAAAGAAATTCAATACATATACTTTTTTTTTTTTTTTTAAATTAATGGTTTATTGTAACATAAACTGTATGCTAAGATATTAAATCAGTGGACAATATTCAGCAGTCTTTCAAATTACCAAATGATCAAATAGTTACTTATTTAAGAAATAAAAATTTATTTTGAGTGCTCTATTATCAGGATAAATTATTGATCCAAGCCACAAAACTGAATGAAATAATTATTAAAGGCACAGAGACAAAATTATTGTCTAGATGTGCAGACATAATAAGATTACCGAAGAGCTCAAAAACACCCAAAGCAATAGTCTACTGGGAAAGAGATTTACAGATACAAACTAATATGAAAGATTGGTACATTGCTCTGCAAACTGTATATAATTAGGTTTACTGTCTAAACATTATGGAGTTGCATTTCAAACTAATGAAAAGATGGTATTTAACTCCATCAAAAATGGCAGAGATTTTTCCCACTGATACACATTTGTGCTGGAGATGCGGCCTAGCTAAACATGAGGAAAAACATATCTGGTGTGATATAAGGTCTACTTGGGATAAATTAGCTCTCAATGTCAACAAAATTCTAGGCCTTTTGCAAGGTTGGTCCTCAGAGATGGCCCTTCTTCATTTAAACTTACCTAACCTACCCAAAATAAAAAAAAAAAGTTTTTGATTCATGCTTTAATGACCTTTAAAACTTCAATCACAAGAAATTGGAAATCGATAACCACTGACTCCTGGTCCCAAATTAAAGAGTGTATTAAATATCAATGCAAAATGGAAAGAGGGTTTGCTTCAGTCTTTTGTATCAAGCCAACAAACTATAAAACATTGAATAATTGGGTTATTAGACTCCACATATACCCTTTAGAATTAAAATACCAACCTATACACCATGCCGTAGCCAATAACCCTTCCTAAAACTCAAACCAGGATTTTTATGATTATTTGTCTTTTTTTTTTTACTGTTTTCTTTCTGTGTTTTTCTTTTTCTCTCCTTTCCTACTTATTCATTTATTTTTTCAATATATTATTTTCTTTTTGTTTATTTTGTTGTGTAATGTTTTTGTCTAAAAGCAATTGTATCATAATAATATATGCTTAATTATCTCTACTGTTTATTTTTATATAAACGTATTTATGTATTTATTAAAAAAATAAATCAATATTAAAAAAAAAAAATCAGTGGACGAAGTTTAAACACAAAGCGGACCAGACAGGTTCAGCAAGAGCTCCAGTGTCTTGTGCCAAATATCAGGGTATATTCCCAGGGCACTCATTGCAACTGACTGCAAACAGCAATTTTATTGTTCCAGGGACATTGATGCACCTGGGAAATCTGAGCTTCCCCATTGCTGAGTTGCCCAAATCAAGGCTTGCGGCCTGCAAGAGTTTGAGCAGAGAAGAGGAGGCCGCTCTCCTAGTTCACTGGCTGGTGGAGTGTCTCATGTATATTGCTGCTCCTGGACCAGCGTGGGTTATCACGATCCCCACTGACCACCTCCACTTACTTTTGCTGACTTCAAGCTGCAGATACCGCACAATTCCCGACCTCTGCAGACCACCTTAAGACTTGGCACAATGGAGCATATAATGACACACCTCAATGATATCCTTGACTGGAGGCACAGCTGGAGGCACTTGTTGTGGCAACACCGTCTCGGAGTCAGGAGGGATGAAGTAGAGGAGAAAGGCAGATAATGTGTGGGCATCCGCTAGGTGAAATTTCATCATGAACACCTGTGTACCACAATTTTAACTTGGCTGGGCTGATAGCTGATGGGGATGTATTCCTAACACATCGACCACAGAAGAGCATATCCCACTCTGCTGGTGTTTTGATAGACCATCCGGAGCTGTAACCAACTCCTGACAGGTAAGGACTTGGATTCTGTTCAGAGCCCTCAAGTCCATGGCTTCAAGATGCAGGCCCTCATTACGGCCTGGGGTT